CCCCCCCGCATGATTCTTGCCCGATCGAGCATGATCTCCCGCGCTTGCAGAAAGGTTATAGATCATCAAGCGACAGCGGATAATCCTCGAGGGGAACTCGAGGAACTTGAAGCCAAAGAAGAAGTCAAAACGCAGCCTCATCAAACCACGCTGCGAACCAGTATTAAGTGATAGCTCATCGACGGAGCCGGTATGCGTGCTTGAATACGTGGAAGGATCTCCGCGTTGTTCCCGCGTTGTTGAAGTCGCGAATCCACCTCGCGACACGGCGGTAACCACGTAGCTTCCAGTGTTATCCCGAAAGATCTTCCCCCGAGACCTGAAGGCGGTGACGTCGAACAACTTTGTTTGATCACTGAGGCAAGCTCAGCGGCATCCGCGATGAATACGATCAAGGACGAGATATCACGACTTGAAGGCGCCGTACTCAAACCTGATCGTGAGGAGCAATTCGAGGCACAGTCTTGGGAGGCATTGCGCAAATCGGGCAATCCGGTGCCCCATACTGCTCGCGAGTACGCCAATGTCTTCCCGAACAAGATTCCCGCCGAGCTGCCGGCGAATTGTGGCGTCAACCACGAGATTAACCTTGTGCCCGAGGCGAACTAGTGCGTAACCAGACAATGACTACCACTTCGAGAACTCGTTAAAGCGATTGACGACTTATTCGAGAGCCACCGGAAAGCAGATCATGTGCGTGAAAGTAGCACTCGATCCCGGCCTTCTGAGTGAAGATGGTGACGGGTGAGTGACGTATCGTCCACGTTTTCAACTAGCAAAACGCTGGCACCATTCCCGCGCAGACTTCGATCCCTCGGAAGGACATGGTATTGGATTCCATGCTATAGTCAGCGCCATCATGATTTTTGCGCCAAGTTACTCCGACGACATCTTCGTCCACATCCACGCAGGGGAATCTTAGTACTGTAGACTTGCCGCAGGAGCTGAAGCACCTGAGGCAAGTCTTCCAGGTAGTGCTAGATAGCAAGCTCTAATCGAATCTGAAGACGAGCGTCTTGTGCACGCCGGAGATCCGGGTGTTGGGATATTTCGTGAGCAAAGCCGGTATACGAGCTGACCCTGAAAAGGTGACGTCTATTGTTCTTGGTCAAAGCCAACGAACTCCACTGAGTTACGTCAGTAGCTCGGCAAGGCAAACTACCTTCTCTAGTATAAAAAGAACTACACTGGTCTGATCCAGCCGCTCTCGTAACTCCATAATAATGACGTGATATGGGAGTGAAAACCAAGCTGAGTTCGACTCAATGAATTTTTTTTTGTCATCCGCTTCAATGTTGATGTTCCCTGGCAGTTTGAAGTCATTCCACGTCACCTGCGACGCGAGTGATTTTTCCGGTGAAGATCGCGAGCGTGTTGTTAGCTACCAATCGCAATAGTAGAAGCAAGCCGAGCGAAATTGACAGGGAACTCCTGGCCATGCAGTATGCTCGGATCGAGTTCAGTGCATCTGCTCGATGAACAATCGTTCGCTATCTACACTGATCACGCATCGCTGCGGATAGCAATGAAGAGTCTGCATTGTCGCAACGGATGGACCGTTAGCTCTCCTTCTTCTCCGAGCACGTCTTCGTCGTTCACTACAACCAGAGGAGAATAATATTGTCGCCGATGTGCTTTCTCAGTGTCCGGACTATGGCCCCGTAAAGTACTAGGCCATCAGGTGGCTCATGAGGACGATGACGAGGAGGCGTGTGCGGTCTGCATAGCGCCACCATCAACCTGTACTCTACCCCCCCCCCCCCCGCTATTACTGGGCAATGAGATTGCAGCGGCGTTTGAAGACGATTCCGGGCTGTGGAGATACACGGCAATAGAAGGCGCTAACAAATACATTCCCACCGTCTCCCATCATTCAGCCGCTATTGATCAACGCCCGTGCATCACGACAGGCGTAGCATGTGTGACGTGCAAAAACTACATCAGTACCCCTTATCGATTTCGTGTCATTCTTTCTGTTGCCGGTCAGTCCAAACGAAACGTCGTTGTCGCATACCATGTATCTCAACCTATTGCACCGTGTGCGTTGAGTGGCTTGCTCTTGTTATCTTGTTTTGTATTATGTGATCCATTATAAATCCTCTAGTAATTTTGAATTACGCTACGTAAGACGAACGTAAGACAACGAACTACTGCTCATTCCGAAATGGTAGCGTTGATATTATAAACCGATTGAAAATATCGACAGATTTTCCCTGTTATTCATCACCGCTATGCGGGCGGATGAGTTGTTAGCCTAGTAATTATCGTAATGCTAGATGCTACCGCGGCCGACACCAGTTTAATCTGCACAGCGCTCTCAATGTTTAAGTATAATTTAGTACGATGCTATGTAAGTCATTAGTAATATTGTAACTTAGTCGGAAGATTTCTTCTGGTTATGGGGTGTTTGATTGATTGTCTTCCGATCGGCAGCTAAAGGGATATCATCTAGCTGTTGTTTTTTTTTTTTAATTGAAGTGATGTAAATGAATCGAAATACTAACCCTATTGGCACGAGGCAATCAGCCCATATTGTCGGGTTCTGTTTCAACTGTTAAAACTAACCATATCCCTGGTCCAATGAAGCCTTTATGATCATAAAACGAATCGATTAAGTCTTATGGACCCCATAGCGCTTCTTTTGATACGGTCTCCATTAATGGTCAAGGTGGTCATGCACAATTTAGGGAAGTTGATTGATTTGGCTCCAACGTATTTGAAAAAAAAAAACGAAGCGCACTTAAGCAAAAGCAATATCTACAATAGTAACAATGCGTTTGAATGTCTCTGAGATGATGACCTCATAAGCAGAACTAGTACCAAGTTGTAGCTGTAGCATAACTCAAAGGCCACGATATACAGGAAAAACTAGCATCTGTCCTCCGGTTGAGAGTGTGTACTTCTATTTGTTACATGAAATGTAGCTTCAATAATCATTTTCTTTTTGTTATTGTGGAGTGGCTATAAGGTTATACGAAGATGTAGCCGTGTTAAATTTCCCTATTCGTTTGTTCGATCGGACGTGGTAACAAAGTCGTAAAACGGAACGTTAAAGCCCAATCATATCAAAAGGTGTCAAATGCTCACTTTGAACGTCTATATCTGTGCGTGCAGATACGTCCGGGACATGAGACCGCACAAATTGGTTATCGCTACAATGAGGGAATATAAACGAGGCGTCTGCGTAGTAGCATCGGGAAGCGCAAACTAAGAAGGATGCAATAGTTTTGACAACTCAAGTTGATATAGCAATGTAAAAAAGCTATATTGCTTACGCTTAAATTTTTATTTATGTACGAATAAGCACACATCCAAGCCGTGAAACCACGTGGTTCGGAACATTGCGCTGCAACTAGAGAGAAACTAGTCACATAGCTGCGTGAAGTATGACATGTGCTACGTGGGGCTCCGTACTACGCAAAGTCTCTTGATTAGGAGTTTCGGAGCCGGCGGTACAAACAACCACATAGTCGGTAGGTGGATATTCAAATGTCTCGGCGGTGTAAGGTGAATAGTATTTTAAGTGTAATCAGGTGGGGCACATGAAGCGGCCGCCGAACGGTTTTATATTCTGGGTATCTACCTCCTCTCTCTGACAATGGAGACCGAGGTTGCTCGTGCCGCAACATGATCGCTCTGACCATTGACCATTAGCGGGGCACAGTATTGTGGAGCCGTTGACCTAGTCCGGGGAAGATTGTGCTCGAGACAGCTCAACACCGGATTCGTCCGGAGTTGTCTTGAGTCACATTATTTTCTGGATTCTGGGGGAAATTTTGTTCTGCTGGGTCAGGTTCAACGCGGCGATAGCCAGACTAGCCACAACCTGAACGAGGTAGAAGTGAACCATGATTCAAGTCAAATTTAGTGAACCAAATTAACCCCAGAAACTCGATTCACGAGGTTTTTCGATTCACATCGGACTGTGAGTATTGAAGTGAATCGAACGTAAGCAGCTTGAACCGCTCAGGTGTATAGTCGTGTACTCAAAGTGGCATTCACCTCAAGGAACTTATTGAGCATTTGGTAGTTCGTTCATGAGTGGTCATTTCCATGTGTGCTAAGATCGGATGACCAAGCGTTGTCAATGCTGAAAGGCGCATTGAACGGGCGTCTTTTAGGCTGCTTAAGTGCTGAAAGGTCGGATGAAGTGCTGCCTAGGCAAAGATAGAGGCGGCCCTTTAAATTTTGCCCAATCCTATATCCAGGAAACGGGTCACAAACGAAACGCTTCAGCGATGGTTTAGTATTAATTACAAATATGTTCTGAGCCCGGTTAAATCGGTATACATGATTCATTAACCGGTGAAAGTTATTCCTGAGCCGATAAAACCGGTTAACTAGTTTTGCGTGTCTCAGGCTCGTTCAAGCCGTGAGACTCGCTTCGGCAGTGCGTTGTACTCCGTCTTGTATGCTTGTATTCATCTGCATACGCCAGGGAGACACGTGAACATCCTCCTACCGGCGATGTGGTACAACGAGACTTTGCGAAACATGAAGACCCACGACTTACAGGCCCCACCTTTCCGCAGGCATGCGACTTGTTCGCATCCCGATATTCCGAACCACATTGCTTAATGTCTTGAGGTCGTACTTATACGTAGAAAAAAAAATAAAATTTTAGATAATAATCACTATAGCCCTATATAAACTTGGGAACGTACGCGTTCTTCTTCGCTTGTGCTTCCCCATTGGGATACAGTGCATTTTTCTTCTAGAAAGTTTGATTTTTTTCGTATGCCATTTTTCATCTCGTTGACTCTTATCAGTTAGCAAACGATGAAGCTCAAAAGTAGCAAAAGAAACTTTCGATTCCTTACATCAAAGACAAGTGAAAGATATCCACTATATCTGCCGACCAGTCAATCTGATGTCAATCAATCAAACTCCCGCTTAGGTAATGGATATCTCTCGATTAAGTTTGCAAATTAAAATTAATTCCAGCAAAGCTGGTACTAAATATCAACTAGAGTAAAAGTACGTCCGAAGGTAGGGTTAGAAAGGGGACGCAAATCCACGCATCGTACTGGCTGCCGAGCGCAGCGAAGGCGGCCTCAATTGTCTGAAATCCTATTATGTGGCCTACATCACAGTACTGATATGGATGAATATCATCAAGGTGCCGACACATAATTTTATCATCATTTAAGTATAGGAAAATGGCAGCAGTGTGCACCTTTTGACCAATGACATTCATCTATGTATCTAATCTACCAATAATATCCACTAGGAGTAGGTTTACAGGCTACCGACATTGTGCCGACGTATAATGTAGGCACGGAGGGCAGAATATGCAGCGGCTCAATACGAGCCACTAGTTCAGTCCACATCACTGGCATATTTGCGCTCTTACC